GATTCCAGTCAGGGGCACATGCCCAGGTTGCAGGCTTGATCCCCAGTAGGGGGCATGCAGGAGGCAGCCAATCAATGATTCTCTCTCATCATTGATGTTTCTATCTCTCTCTCCCTCTCCCTTCCTCTCTGAAATCAATAAAAAATATATATATATTTTAAAAATGCTTATTTAGCCCTAGCTGATTTGGCTCAGTGGATAGAGGCATTGGCCCGTGGACTAAAGGGTCCCAGGTTCGATTCCGGTCAATAGCAGGAACCTTGGTTGCAGGCTCGATACCCAGCCCTGGTTGGGTGCACGTGTGGGAAGCTACCAATCGATGTGTCTCTCTCACATCAATGTTTCTCTCTGTCTCCCCCCTCCCTTCCACTCTCTCTACAAATAAATGGCAAAATATCTTTGGTGAGGATTAACAACAACAACAACAAAAAAATGCTTATTTATCACCTAGCCTTTGTTTTTCTTCATCTAAGAGCACTGGTTTCTTCTGCTCCTTGTCCAGTTTGTTAATCTAAGTTTCTACAGATTCAAGTATAGAAAAGAAAGTATAACACTTACCACATTAATAGGGGGTCTTTTGAAGTAAAATGGTAGTTTCTCTGTTACAGTTATGCAGACTAAATCCACATCTAGATGTGTACAAGCAACCTGTCAAGAAGAAAAAGCAGGTAAGCTCTTTTCTGTGGCTCCTTGGAGGTGGGCAGCTGCTTCAGGGTGAAGGTGAACACCTCTTTCCCAGCCACTGGCTGCCAGGGACTCACTGAAATGGACGAGGAATGCAAACGTCTACCTTTTGTGAGAAGCGCATGGCCACAGAAGTTTTTGCTGATGCTCTGGGTGAAAAATGAAAGAAGGGGTATGTGGTTTGAATCAGTGGTGAGAGCAACAAACAAGGTTTCCTCATGAAGCAGGGAGTCTTGACCCATTGCCGTATCCACCTGCTACTGAGTAAGGCATTCCTGTTATACACCAAGGAGGACTGGAGAGAGAAAGCACAAATCTGTTCGGGGTTGCATTGTGGATGCCAATCTCAGTGTTCTCAACTAGGTCACTGTAAAAAAAGATATTGCTGGTCTCACTGATACTGTGCCTTGTCATCTGGGGACCATAAGAAGAGCAGAATCCACAAACTACAAAATTTCTCAAAAGATGATGATGTCTGCATAAATGTGTGAGAAAGCCCCTACATAAAGAAGGTAAGAAACCTTGGACCAAAGCACCCGAGATTCAGCGTATTGCTACACAAGCATCAGTGTATTGCTCTGAAGAAACAATGTACTAAAAAATAAATAAATAAATAAAAATAATAATAATAATAAGGAAGAGGCTGCAAAATATGCTAAACTTTTAGCTAAGAGAACGAAGGAGACCAAAGAGAAAGGCAAAAGAAAAATTGGCACGTTAAGAATAGGAATGAGGTCAATGCTGATATAAAGAAATATAAATAGACATTGCTCACTCTAAAGGTGTTATGATGGCTCTGCGTTGAAATACAAAGGCAATGGTCAGCCATTCCTGCAAGTTTGGCTTGAACGGTTTAACTGTAATCTGGCTGAAGCAGTGTGATATGTCCACAGACCTTAAACAGACAGGGCCTACAGACCCTTTGACTCATGGTCTGCTACATAAGGATGGGCTGCTAAGAGAGGTTCCATTTGTGGAAGTATAGATTGTTCTAGAAAAGGAAAACTAACTGAAATAAAAAAAAAAAAAGGCCAAATGCTCCACTTTTCCCGTAAATCATTTATTTTTGTGCTAGGAATTGTTTCAGGCCTGTGGTTCCTACTTGTCTATTGAACGGCTGAAAAAACACGAACATGACACTACCAGTGGTATTTTGTTCAAATACTAATGAAAACAATCTTCATAAATGGTCAACACAGAGCTGTTACAAGTCAAATGATACTGAATGCATTTTTCAGATTTAATTTCCCTTTCCTTTCTTCTAATTTTTGCTATCATTTGTTGATCAATACTCCAAAAGAGATTTGAAAGTGCTTACAAAAGCTGCATGCAAGATGAAATAAACAGATAAGAAAATCAGGACGGAAGGAAAATAAATTTGAGGAAAGGTTACTAGTTTAAGAGTACAAGCCAAAAGACACTGCTAGAAGATGAATATCTGGCTCTGATTTTCCATTATTTGATTTACAGTGATAAAAAGAACTGGCTGTTTTGAACTGTATTAAACATAAGACACACTCACAGTTTTGGTATATACAGAATCCATGAACAAATTCACACTGCCAGGTGGCTATGCTAACAAACCAATATCAGGGGCAGAGACCAAGGGAAAGGACGGAGTAAGGAAGAGGAGTAAAGAGGGGGTCACTTCTACCCCCACCCAGACTCCCTGGCTTTAAGACAGTCCTAGTAACTCAGTAAGCCTGGGAAATAGTGCTGTTTTGGCAAAAACACTTGGCTCATTAAGAATCTGCCCCATCCCAACTGCTACAGCTGCCCAACTCATAAAAGAGTCATTGAAAATTTAATAAGAATGAATGAAGAAAAGCTCTGAATAGTAGATAATACAAGTTCAGCTGCTCACCATTTTTTAGTAGTAACAATGGCAAAGATAAAAATGTTCAGGAATACACTGCTAACACAAGAATGAATAAACAGGTACTCACAGGATCCTTACTTCAGTACAGAGTCTTAAAAAGTACTTTAGCAATAGGTATCAAAATTTTACTAGTAAGTGCATACACCATCAACTTCACCTACAGGAATGTATCCTATAGGCTCTAGAAATATATTCTATAGCAATGTACTCTACAAATGCTCAGGGATATTGATAGTCACTGCAAACACCAATCACAAAAGACTAGATGCAATTAATCATGTATCAATTTCATTTCAATAAATTATATATAGTCCCTTTTTACAATGGAATACGCTGACTCCTAAAAAGGAAGAGGTATATCTCTAATTGTCATCAGGGACCATCTCCAAGATATACTGTTAGGTGAAAAAAAAAGCATGGTGTTATATAAGAAGAAAGGAAGGAGGGAAGAGAGAGGAATGAAGGAAGGATTAGGTAAATAATATTTCTGAGAAGACATAGAACTGTTAGCAGTGCTTGCCTCAGGAGAAAAGGGAGAGGAAATTTTAGGTGGGAGAAAAGTGTACTTTCCAATGCTTATCTATTTGTACTGTTTGAAGTTATTATCATGAACAGAAATTATTTTTCACTAAAAAAAAGCTGATTCATTTATGTTTAAGTCTGCTGAATATTCTTCCCCTGACCAAAGCTAAATTAGCCTACTTATTATTTATGTATTGGTCATTTTCTCCTTTTTAAAAAAAAATATATGTTATTGATTTTTTATAGAGAGGAAGGGAGAGGGATAGAGAGTTAGAAACATCGATGAGAGAGAAACATTGATCAGCTGCCTCCTGCACACTCCCCACTGGAGATGTGCCCGCAACCAAGGTACATGCCCTTGACCGGAATCGAACCCAGGACCCTTGAGTCCACAGGCCGATGCTCTATCCACTGAGCCAAACCGGTTAGGGCTCCTTCTTCTATATAACTGGCTAATTAAAAACTATCCCGTGTTGGTTTAAGTACATGCATTTTAATAAACTTTCAGTAAAAGGCCAGTTCTACTTGGTTCCCTTTGACACCTCAAACTTAAAATGTCTCAAATTGAATTCTTTTGCTATTTAGCATTCTATTAATCCAAGATGTACTACCCTGACATCCATAAAAGGGAGTTGGGGAGAACTATGAATCCCTATCCTTCTGTTCTCCTTGTTTTATAAAATAAAAAATGTTTGCATATATATGTGCATTTTCAAGAATATTCTTTCCTTAAGTCCTCATAGGAGACCTTGGCCAAAGAAAAAGAACTGATATGAATTCATATACAACCTGCCAAAACCACTATAATAAGATTTTTAAACATAAATATTATTTGTACATGATTTAATCTTCTTTAATGATTTAGAAAGTACTTTAATGTGAACAATGCTTTTATTTTATGGTTATCTAAATGTATCAAGTGAACATTTGGATTAATAGAAAGCTAAGTAGCAAAAGAATTCAGTTTGAGACATTTTAAGTTTGAGGTGCCTCCTGCATGCCCCACACTGGTGCACTTTTCTAAAGAATGGATTTGAGTCTCCCATATGAGCGTCAACCTATGAACCAGGAGGTCACAGTTGGATTCCCAGTCAGGGCACATGTCTGGGTTGCGGCTTGATCCCCACTAGGGGGCGTGCAGGAGGCAGCCAATCAATGATTCTCATCATTGATGTTTCTATTCATTTCCCTTTCTCCTCTAAATCAATAAAAATATATATATTTAAAAAAAGATTACCAGGTCCCACTCCCAGTGATAAATTCAGAAGTAGGGCCAAAGCATCCTCATTTTAACAAATATCCCCAGCAATTTTGAAGCTGGGGGAGCCATAAGGACTGTCCTGAAAAATAACCCGTTTCAAGAGCCAGAGGTACTGGTAGCATACTCTACAACAGTAGTTTTTAAAGGGAAGTAGGCATGGATTTTGGAAGCAGGAAGCAAATAGAACTTTTATTTCCATCTATTTTTTAATTCACTCTCTTAAAACTTGTTTTGTGTGTATGTTACCTTTTACAGCACACTGTTATAATGAAGTATGCAAATAATTTATAAGAAAATAAACATATGCCCTAACCGGTTTGGCTCAGTGGATAGAGCGTTGGCCTGTGGACTGAAGGGTCCCGGGTTCGATTCGGGTCAAGGGCATGTGCCTGGGTTGCGGGCACATCCCCAGTGGGGGATGTGCGGAAGGCAGCTGATCGATGTTTCTCTCTCGTCGATGTTTCTGGCTCTCTATCTCTCTCCCTTCCTCTCTGTAAAAAATCAATAAAATATATTTAAAAAGAAAAAGAAAAGAAACATACATATATTGGGGATGCAGCCTCAATGCTTATTAGAATTGATAGGGTGCACAATCTAAATAGTTTGTAGACAACTAGACTAAATAACCTGAATTCACCTCAACCTAAATCTTTAAATGGGAATAAGGAACTCAGAAGCTCCTGAAGTTCTCTGAAACTCTCTGCTACATTCCCTCCCCCATCCCAAGAAGCCCTGGGAATTCCCAATGCTATTAAGGTGGTTAGATTTTATACTACTAATTGTTAACATATGTGTGTTATGATTATCTTAGAGACCTTAGTTTTAGATTATATCTACACCTTTTAAATTAATCAACTTCCAAACCAAACAAATGGAATCAATTATAGGATACAACCTCTTAAACAACAACTGCTTGCATTTGTCCTGATTCCAGACCATGAAAGACTTTAAAAAGCTTTTAAAAATTGATTGTCTATAAAAAACAAGGAGAGCCCCAACTTGAATTGTCTTAGAGAATGGGTAAGATTTGGACACATCAGAGGAAGTTGTTCCAATTTTAAAAACGGTTTTTATGTAACGTTTTTAGTATATCTGTATAATCAAATTCAAACAAATACTGCGTAAATTATTTGTAGCTTTCTTCCCTCTTCTAGAATACTTGTTTCACTCACCATCATCAAACATATATTACGCTTTTAAATTCACTTTTTGAATAGTCTGAGAAAAATAAGTAATATGATAAACAACTAAGATAAAATTGCTGTACAGAATTATAATGTATTCTAAAACCTAAAGCCCTAGCTCTACTACATACTACCTGAGATTTAGAGCAAATCACTTAGTCCGAGCCTCAGTTTTCTCTCCTATAAAATGGGGAGAGTAACAAATATGTGTCCCAATTATCCCTCAGGAGTGTTGTATTAAAGGTAAAAAAAATATGTAAAAGTCTTTTGAAGGTAATATAAATGTATGTCTTCCAGCCATACTGTCATGTTTTAAGGGTTCTGTTTCTCTAATCACCAGTAAATGGCTATGGAAATGTAAGTTATATGCTTACATTTCTAAATCAATTTTGAAAAAAAAGTAGTACAAATTGGGTATATTACCAGCTTTTAGTGTACAACACAACTGAATTGTTATTTAATAACAAAACTAAGTTACTATTTAACAAATTTGGGAACTGCCCACAGTCCTTATACCTACCATGGTTCCATCAATTAATCAGAATCTCCTGTGGAACTTGAAACAAACAGATACCAAACTCAATCCCAAACCTACTGGATCAGAATCTACAGTGGTGGGGGCTGAGCACCCTGATTTTAAAAAGTTCCACAGGGGTCTCTGATGAATATGTACCACTCCCCTTTACTGACCTCTTTTTCTGAAACAAAATTGAAAACTATTATAATTGAACATTTTAAGAAAGGAGTCATCAAAAACAAAGTTATTTATAGATAAGTTGTGCTGTTCCTCTACAATAATATACACATTTAAGAATTGATTAAAAAAAAAGAATTGATAGTAAGCCTGGAAAACTAAATTTACCACAGGTAAGTCTTCTTTGTCAACAGCTCCATCTACTGGATAAACTTAGGCAAAATCTTCCTATAATTTTAGAACAGACTTTGCTTAGAAATGAACTATGCTGTAAAATTAAAACATCGAAACCAGTACTTTTTTTCCCCCCTGCAATATACCTTTGGTGGATATACGTTTTGCAGATGGATACTTTTTGGAACCTAAAGACAACATTCAGAACTTTTTAAAAGTATCTATAGCTCATTTTACAATGTAAAACATATTACTGAAAAACTATATTACAGGTGATTTTTTTTTTCCTTTTCTGTAATCATTTAAAATGTCCAGTATGTTCTGTCTTAAATTGATAAAAATGACCATACCTTGTTATATAACTTTCCCTCCTGAAAACAATCACAGATATAGCAATTTTAAAAGTACAAAAGGAATTACATTCACAAAGGCTCTCAGATCAGGAGGAGGACAGGATCAGCAGGTGGCTGACTGTGGAGAATTTCTAGAAGACCGATGCCTGACGTGATCCTGCTGGCATATGGGCCACACCTCTCAGCATGCAAAGGAGAAAGATCAGACAAGTGGGAGTTTTCACGCCACAGTAGAACCTTATGCCTTTTTTCCCTAACAGGCAGCAGCAACGAGTAAGAAGGGCAGAAATTGAAGTGATTTTTAGAACTACAAAGAGTGAGACTAACATTTACTAATAGAAGTTTCTAATGAGTGAATGAAGCAGAGATAAAGAAACAGAAGAAAACTTGATGGGCTGTTCAAATCTGAGCCCATCAAATGTCTAGCAGGATGAACAAAACAAAACAAAACAAAACGAAACAAAACAAAACACATGCCACCTAAATATATCCTGTGAAATTCCAGAACCGTAAATGAAAAATTCAAAGTTTCCAGATAGGGCAAAACAGATCATCTACAAAGGCATAATAATGAAGACTTCTTTTAAAAAATAATAAACACTATTTTCTTTTACTTAATCTGTTACTTACATGAAAAAGTTTTTCTGTCTTTGGGAAAACTGCAACAATATCATACAGCCGGACCCTCGAAGAAGTTGCTCTCTAGTAATAAAAAGAATGTTGTCATACAGTAACAAAAACAATACCCATGGGATTCTGCCTGTGGGTTGGCTGCACACCTAACATGCCGCTGACAGTTTTGCTTTGCTTTGTATGTTGGCAGAGAAGACTTTCTAAGCACGTGAGAATTTAGATACCAACATCCATTCCACCAACCTTCTACCTTCCTTCCTACACTGTTACACTTGTATCAAACATTGTGTTTGCAATACAAAAATCAAATTAGATAGCCTCTGCTTTCATAAACTAGTGGAGTTTGTCAGACACTGACTAGAGCCTGTTGTGTGAAGGACACTAGGGGTACAGAATCATTTAAGGCATATGTCTGCCCTTCAGGGAATTCACAATTTTGTTGGGAGATAATACACTTGACTCAGTGTGAGGCATTTAGGTTCACAATGAGAATACTGTTAAATAAAAATTAAACTGCTAGATGGGCAGGAAAATACCTGAGAAACCAAGGACAGAATGAGACAAGTATATCAGTTAAAAACAGCTTATCCTAGCTTATCTTCCTCCCGTTAAAAGCTGAAATTCCTCAGGACTGTCCTAGACCTTCTCTTCCCACCTCACACTTGGACCAGGGAGTCTCATCCACTCCCATGAATTAAATTATTCTCTACAGGGTGACCACTTCCAAGTCATAATCTATTATTAAGATCACTCTTCTAAGGGCCATGCCTTTCTAACTGCCATCTGATAGGCTCCATTGGAACTTTTACAATAACCCACCATGTCCCTAACGCCATGCCCTCAAACCTGCTTTTCTTTGTATGTCCTGTCTCAGCAAAAGGTACCACCAGCTACTTAACTGGCTGCTCAGGCCACACTAAGGCGTCATCATGCTAAATCCAATTAACCACCAAATCCCATCAATCCGCCCACCTGGATGCTTCTCAAATCCCCTTAACCCCCTCTGATCCATTCTTCTATAATGCAAACCTCCCTTGGCTAAGATCTGCTCATCCAGACCAACCTCCCTAACCTCATCTCAGGTTAGCCAGCTTAGTAGGCTCAATCCTAGTGGTGGTGTTCCAGTTCCCAGAACACACCATGTTTTCCTTGGCTTCAGGGCCTTTGCATAATCCCTCCTGTCTCTGAGAACACTCTCTCCCCCACTCAACATCTATGTAACACTTACTGATTTTTCTGGCCCCAGTTTGAACATCAACTTCCTCAAACTGTCCTCCAGAGCATTCTTTATTTACTACCGCCACCTTTTTAGCTATTTCTTACAGATTTAAAAGGATTGTGTCTGTATTATTCACAGCAATATCCCTAGCACCACCGTATGTCTGGTTCATGTGAGCTCAATGACTAACAATTGCCCAAGGACTCATAGATTGTGGTAGTCCTGTACATGTGCCATGAGTAGAAGAGATTGTTATATTATGTGAATTCTGAGGATGGGGACAGCATGCAGGTGTCATGCACAGGGGAGGGGGTGTAAGAACGGGTGAAGTTGAAAAGCAACACTTTCAACATAAATCAATCAACTTACAAGTCCAAAATGAGAGAAGTAATTAACTTACCAAAACATTGCAGTGAGATGGATCCGAAACAATAATTGTCAGTCTAGTTAAAATTTTTATTGGTCTTGATTTTCCCTATAATCAAAAACATACCATCAGAAAAGCAGAGAATACAAATGACTGATTTTCCTCTTTACCAGTGGAGGCATTCATTAAAAAGACACCAGCAATAGGGCAGTAAAACCCAGCCTTCATGCTCAAGGAATTTATATTACAGCTAGAGAAAAAAGATGTATGTTAAGCTACATAATGAGATAACTTAAAGGTTGTAGGACTTCAGGAAAGAAGATCACCGAGAAGTATGGAATTGATAGTAAGGGAGAGTTTCACAGAAGAGCTGGTCCTGATGGAAAGGTAAGGCTGGTAAGCAGAGGAAGGGGCATCGCAGGGTAGAGAACCATACCTATCACTGGGCGTGTCTGCATCGAAAGAATAGGTTTTATGCTTCTTAAACAACAGAACACCTACCTGTACAATTGGCAAAGTTGTAAAGAGTTCTGAAACAGCGACTGGTTTTTCAATTTCCTACAACAAATAATAAACAGTTACCCTAGATTATACATGTTAATGGGACAAAGCATAATGGAAAACTTACTAGGGGTTTGCAGGAAAGATAATTTAAGAAAAGAAGTAAAAAAGCTAATTTCTGGTATTCAGAAACACTAAATTAGCTTTTTTCTTAAAAAAAATTAAAGAAAGTGGAGGCGCAGAGAAGCAACTGTAAACATCAATGGACGGGAAGGATGAAAAGTAGTTTTTAGACTAAAATAATCTGTAAGCTACAGTTGCTGGCCTAAAGAAAAATATACACATTTACCAGTATGTTTATGTTAAAGAGTTAAAAAATCAAATATTGTGATTATAGTCAGTCAATAACAATGCACTTTTTTTAAAAAAGACTATTGAGTGACTTAACATCAAATCAACTTTAAGACTCCTCAGAGCATGTCTATTATGTCACAAAAAAATTATCATTTGCACAAATATGCATCAACTCAACTATTATAAAATAAGAATAGTGCACAGAGAATGCATTTTTTAAAATTGCAAGAAAATATACTTATCTGTAGGCTCCATATTACCAATATAAATATAAATAATTATAAAAACTGGTTATTATTAACTTCAGAAATTTTATTTTACCTGTTTCTTTTCCTTAAATTCAACAACGTGATTGATGGCAACAACTGAATAGCCAACTGAAAAGAAAAATGGAACATTATTCTTAAATATAACCACCTTTACCCATAGTCCCATCCCTCTTCTAGATGTCAAGACTAGGAGGAAGTTTGCAGAGTGGTATGGGTATGGGCTCTGGTGTCAGACTGCCTGCTTTCAGATCTAAGCATTACCACTTACTACAAGTTTCAGATTCTTCGTCGGTCAAAATGGTGATAATAAAAGAACTTAACATACACGTCATGAGGATTAAATAAGATAATACACGCAGAGTGTTTTAGAATTGTGCCTGGCACTTAGTTAAGGCTTTATTTGACCTATGTGACATATTATTAGCATGAAACTAAACACCCTTAACTTTGTGTGTCTCCTCTCCATCTATCATTCTCTTTCATATTCCTTTTTTCATTTCATCCCACTAACTTTATACTTTTTCAGCCCCACCTTTACTCCCACTCATTTTATTTGCTTTTTAGCCTTATTACTTCCTTTTGAGGCCCTTTTCCTGAGGGGAAATGGACTAATGATGCCCTCACACCACTGTCCACTTCTCTTTTGGAGCTCTCCACCATCAAGACTGGGAACTCTTTGAGGCCAGGGCCTTGCACTATCAGCCTCAACACAGAGCACTGTTCTGGGCATTTAACTACCAAAAATATGTCTAAATCATATTTTCAGGTTATTTTAACACCAACGGGGGTTGGGGGGGGTAATGACAGGATATGAAAATATAATGCATATTAATGCCAAAATAGTGGGCCCCCTTTCATCAATTTGTCCAACTTCCTTCTTTCCTTCCTCACGCAAACATTGAGTATCCATTACATGACAGGCCGTTTGCTAAGTGTTGAGAATACAGAAAAACCAGAAGATAAAAGAAACTTCCAGTACTTTGTGCTTCACTTTTCATTCAATCAAATCAACCAAGCCCCATCAACACACCCCAGCACCATTCTTCTTTACCATACTCCAAAGTCTGCTCTACGTTTTCTTGTTATGCCCACTCGGGAAACCTTTTGGCCACTAAACAATATCCCTACTGTCCTTCAGAAATGTCAACTAGATTCAATTTCTCCACAAACTTTTCCTAGACGACCCATCTGGCATCTTAGGATTACTTTCCCAATATCTCTGGTGTAACTTCTATTTATATAACTTATTTCTGAAGATTATTGGTTTCTTACATCACATCATAAACTAAGAACCAGGGATCTGTCTTCTTTATTCTTTGAAAATTGCCACTCACCAAATAGCATTCCTTTATCTTTAACTAAAATTGGGGTGACTTTCTGTCATGTTTCATTTAATTTTAATTATACACATTGGGTAACAATGTATAGACACTTTACCATATCTCCTTCAAGGATATTTGAAATTGAGGCAATTTTCTAAACAAGTCGTCGTTTTCTGTATTTTTAAAAAGGTGTACGGCTTATTAACTTATTCCATAAGCAATAAGTGAGTAATCACTATCTGCCAGGGCTGCTGAGTGACTGTGCTGAGCACAAGAAATAAAAGAATGAATAGAAAGACATGGCCGCTCTCTATGTATCATGATTCAGTTACTAAGGAAAAAGCATCTGGAAAAGGTTAATTGAAGAAGTAATACAAACTACACCCAGAAAATTTGATTTTAAAGAAACCACCACCAAATAGTAGCGTTAAACGGCCCAGATCATCACGTCCATCGGCTTCCTTTTACTGGAGAGGAAAGGATTCTCAGAGAGACAATGCTAATTACTGGCTGCAATGGAAAGACAAAAGGACAAGAAGAAACGGTGTAACCCACTTTGCCAAAGGCTGGCTTTATCCAGCACTACCCTCTGAAAAGTATCATGACCAGCTCTCACAGGGCTGAGAACTGAGGAATCCTGCAGAAACCTCTTCATTTGTAAACCCTTCTTTCCCCACATCTAAGGAAGAAAATAGCAGTCATGATTAGTTTCAAAAATTAAAACAGGTTCTTCTCTCTCAGGGCTTTCGCTTCCTTGGATTCAAATATGAATCCAGCGTTCTGGCCATGCTGCTACCCCCTACCCCCAATATATCCTCTCCTACCTACCCTTTCTACAAATATTATTCCAACCCTCGCAGCCCCCTGTTCCCCCCCGCTTCTCCGAGCCCATGCACTGCTCACGCGTTTGCTCCGACCCAGTCGTGAAAGGCAGACAAGGGGTGTGACATTAAGAGCACTGGTGTCGATTACACTTGGAAGCCCGGGCTTCTACATTCCATCAGCTGTGGGGCCCTATGCAAATCCTCCACCTTCTCATGGCCTCAGTTTTCTCAATTTGCATTAAAGGAGGAACTAGACTGGATAACAGCTCCCCGCGCCTTCGAATTTCCCGCGTTAGGGATCCAAACAACACGGCGGTGGGCATCGGCTTCTAGGGACATCCCAGAGACCCGGAGGCCCGGCCTTGCCGAGTCCTTCCAGAACATGGCCCGACTGTCTGGGGGCCGGCGAGGCTGGGCAGGCACTGCGGCCCGCGAAGCCAAGGCGACTCACGGTGAGCGGCGTTCTCCACGAGCCCGCGCAGCGCCTTCAGGTCCGAGCCCGCTCGCAGGTCCAAATCTGCAAACACCGCCATGCTGGAGTCACATGACGGCCCCGCGTGATCTGCGCAGGCACTGGGCCCGCCCCCAAGGCATGCTGGGATTTGTAGTTTACTCAAGCATCTGGACCCTCCCTTCAGTTGATTGTAAGTTCCCAGGCATTTGCTTCGCTTTCAAGTACCAGCAAAAATTAGTGTGTCGAAACCAACCACCTCACTTCACTCCTTTGTGTTATTCTGAATGAGAAAGTTTGCTTTCCCCCCAGAGGTGTTCACAACTCCTACCATTCCTCCTATTACATGGTAGAAAGTAATTCTTACGAAATAATTGCGAGCATTTATTGAGCGCCTGCAATAAACCAGAAACTCTTAATAAGAGCTGGAAATGCTTTAAAAAAAAAAAAAGACATAAGTAACCCTTTTTTTTCCTACCTGTAAAGTCCATACTATTGTCTAAAATAGGCTCAACAGGAAGAGGGGGAATCTAACCTGAAAACTTCGAAAAAGATTGCCTGAGAAAAGCAAACGGTCTTTTTTTTTTTTTTTTTTTTTTAAATATATCTTTGTTTATTTCAGAGAGGAAGGGAGAGGGAAAGAGAGATAGAAACATCAATGATGAGAGAGAATCATTGATTGGCTGCCTCCTGCACATCCCTCACTGGGGATAAAGCCCGCAACCCAGGCACGTGCCCTTGACTGAAATCGAACCTGGTACCCTTCAGTCCACAGGCTGACGCTCTATCCACTGAGCCAAACCAGCTAGGGCGGGTTTGTTTTTTTGTTTTTGTTTTTCCCAAACAGAGCTGGCTGTGACATAGCGCAGGGCTTTCTATCACACTTAACATTTCCAACCACAAGATGGCAGGGCTGGGCCTAGGTGAAGAGGAAGAGAAATTGGAAAACAGTCATTGAGTATTTTACAGAGGGCCAACCAATTTGCTACGTACTTACCTACGTATTTTATTACTTAATTTTCAAAGCAAGTGAGCTAAGTACTTTTTTTGTATGTTTTTTTCTTCTTCAACAAATGCATTTTATATCTTCATATTAAGTGAAAAAAAATTGCTCAGGCAACTAAAACTTTTCACTGAAAGAAATTTACAAGGAATACATATTGAAGGCAAGAGAAAGAACAGGTCCTAAACAGAAGCTAGCATTTTCAAACATAATAACTATAAATTTTATTGCTCAGTCAGTACCTTGAGAATATAGCTAAAAACTTGTAGGATAAATTACTATTTAAAATTAGTATATTTAAAAAACTAAATTATCTCTAGAATTTTCTATTGCAGCTGATAAGCAAGTAAATATATAAAAGCTATTTGTATTGTTGAGAATTTTGACTTGACTAAATTTTTTGGAAATGCTGCTTAAAATGGTACATCATTAGGAAGTGACTTATTTTTGTGTATGGAGAAGAATTTTGAGAATTTTAAAGTTGACTTATTAGAATTGATAACCATGACTAACACTGACTTCTACTGGGATCAATATTAACTTCAGACTTATACAACATAAACACGATGTGACAAGACTTTAGGCAATTTATTGTACTATTAACTAGAAATGACTTTGAGCTCAAAACCTAAAAACTACATAAATAATAGTCATGGTAATTAAACATGCCACACACACAGTTCATATTCCAAGTAGGTGTAGTGGATGCTGAGGGAATTTTGAACTGCTGAAAGATAATCATTTTCTAAGCTTTCCATGGAAGTTCTCTCTGTGAAATTTGTATTGAGGAATAGATTGCCCTCTAGGGGGTGCGCATGTACCACTTATATTCCTTTTCCCATAAACCGTTTCCCATAAAATGGGTAGTACAAAACACTGAGTTATAAAATAAACACATGTTCTTGGATCTATCTCTTTTCTGTTCATCTTTTAAAAAACATATATTTAAAGATTATATTTATTTTGTAAAGGGAATGAAAATTTTCTAAATGGAAGAAACCAAAGAAAAAAGGTACAGTTTTATAGTTAGGGATAATGCAAAGAAAAGCAGCATAATTAAAAGGCACATTTATCTAAATTAAAATAAAACTCACAATTCACTTTAAGCTGAGTAATTATTTTAAAAATCATGAATGACTCTTGCTTATAGGCCATTATTCTACACTACTTCCCTCCTCCCCCAACAAATGTTAACTAAACACCTAGTATGTGGCAGGAATAAGAAAACATCCTTCCTTTGGGAAGTTTATAGTCTAATAGAGAAGACAGTCATGTAACTGTAAAGCATAATGCAACACTAAGTGCAATAATAAAGATGTGAAAAATATGCTTTAAGAGTCGAGAAACGATTATATTAACTATGGTGAGAGGAATTGTCACAGAGGAGGAGATAATTCCTGTTTGTTGGACTCTTTTATCCGAAGTAGGCCTCCCCAGTATTTCTGTTGACAGATTTCAGTCCTAAGATGTGTGTTCTGTTTCTCTGCTACTGCTCTATAGCCCGACTGGCAGCCACAGGGTCGTGTTCGGATGTTTATACACAAGAATCTTAGCACTAGTTTTCCTAGTCTTTTCTCATCCAATTCTGGGATCTTTTCTCACCCAGACAATTAGTTTAGTTGAGTGAGGCAATGGGGTGTAAAAAAGTGAGCATCTAAACATTTTTGAGAAGTGAAAAATAGTCCTGTAGGAAGTCAGCTGCATTGTCATTGGAAATTACTGGAACCCAAGTCAGCATGACATTAGTATGCTTAACTGACTAGTGAGTTATTGATTCCTATGGCACAGAAAGCTTTATTTTACCTGTGTTTTTTAAGTAAATCTAGATTGTGAGAGTATGCTGGTTTATAGGAAAAGAAATTCTCTTATGTCCCATAGATGGGGATGTGTGGTTCTCTATACACATGATTAAGCACATGCATTTGGATGGGCTAGATGAGTACTTGGGAAAAAGAAGAGTTTATAAAAAGCAGTTCTTGTTGTAGGATTTGCTCTTCTGGACTCCCCCAGAGCAGTTTTGAGAGGGTGATTGCCTGTTGGGAGATTACATCACAAAACTGTAATTCTCAGGTGCCCTCATTGACAATTTAATGAGAATGTGGTTATAAGCAATGCAAGTCTAGACAAGGTTTGGTACTTTTTGAAGCATCAGCTATTTTTTAAATGAAACAAAAGAGATAAAATCTAAAGACATGGTTTGATTTAGATGCCAATACTTCTCTATTTCCAGTATAAGTGCCCAAGAGTGGGCATGTGGGTGGGGGATGGTGGTGGTGAAAGAAGCAACACCTTCATGTGGATTTTAAAACACCAGGAAGCCAAGGGCAAAACAAATAACAAATTTAGATGAATGCTTAGGTATTTTATGAGTACTTTTTGTGAAGCTGTATTTTTAGCTTTTTTTCAGAGAAAATTATGGGGAAGCATACACAAGATTTTAGCATTTTTATGAAGATAGGATTATTTGTTAGTCAAAGTTAGGGGGAAACCGAAAGAATTCCAGATTGTTCTGTCAGGATTTTGGAATAATACAATGATAGATGAAACTTAAACTCAGCACAAGCAAGGTAATGCTGCAGAAGCTGAGATTTTCAATAACTATGTTTATACATTGTGGCAGCTTATAAATTAAATCCTAGAACTCTTCGGAAATACACCCAGCCATCACCAGGGATAATATAATAGAGGTGATTGCTCTATAAAAAGGGGAGTTTGAACCTGATGCTATATGGAAATGGAAAAGGAAATAAATTTGAAAGCAGAATTTTTCTGAATATTTGGTGAGTTGTATGTCCTGCAATCGGAAAACAAAAGCAAAACAACATCAGAAGTTGCTATGAAATATAAGTGGGTTGGGAAAATGCTGGTAAGAGTATAGGTGCAAATTTTATAGAATGTAGATTAAAATAAATCTATTGTTTTTCAAGTTCTTCGTATAATTAATTAATGTGGAACATTATTTACTTATTTTAAAAAATATATTTTTATTGATTTCAGAGAGGAAGGGAAAGGGAGAGAGAGAGAGATAGAAACATGAATGATGAGAGAGAATCATTGATTGGCTGCCTCCTGCACGCCCCACACTGGGGATAGAGCCCAAAATTCTAGCATGTGCCTTGACCCAGAATTGAACCATGACCTCCTGGTGCATAGGTCAATGCTCAACCACTGAGCCACGCTGGCCTGGCTAGAATATTATTTAAAAGAGACAAGCTGACCTGATTACTCCAGGGAAAAAAATGAGAAAAGTCAAAAGTATTTTGTAAAATTTATTACCGTGGGAATTTTAAGAGGCCTTGAGACAATTCCAAACCTCAAAAACAAAAAAACAGAGACATTTCAATGCAGTCATGAACGATCATGGAGAACTCATTAAATTCCTGCTGGTCTCTATCTCCCTCTCTGTATTGAATAGTCAACACATGGTTTCTTAAATGGTTTTTGACTACAAACTAGTTTTCTTTTGTCTGAAATTATGCTTAATATGAACTAAGGTTGAAGAAATTTCCTCATCCATTTTCTTAAGTATTCAATAGCATTGCTTTGTGGCTTACATATTATCTTCTACTCTTCCTCTGACTCAATGTATTGATCTCCTTATCCCAGGCAGAGGAGAGCCCCTGACATTTTCATAATATTGAGAGAGCTGTGAACATTGGTTCACCTTTTAAGGATTTTTCCTACTTAAATTTTTTTTAAATGTATTACCATTTGATGGCAATAGCAAATGTGTTTCCTTCTCTGGATGAATAGGGCTAATACCTGCCTTGAAGAATGAGAGTATTATTCACCATTCAGATCAATACATTTGTTCTTTTTTCTTTTCATTTATAATCTGCTAGAGCCTAACTAGAAAAGAAAGATTTAATTATTTTTAGAGTCTTAAACTAAAGAAATCACTGCTGGCTTCCAATACAACCTTTAAACAAAATGAAGTGAGTCTCAGAAATAATAAAAATCAGCCACTCTGACAGGGTTTGAATACCAAGGGGATTTTCGGCAATGGGCATTAGATCAACATACACCTCCAGGATTCTTCAGCAGAACATTGTAACAGGTCATTTCTTCGTTTATGTGCAAGGTTTCCAGGATGCCCTG